GTGTGAGTGTGTGTGTGTGTGTGTGTGTGTGTAAAGAGAGTATGACCCAGCAAATGTGGTAAAGCGTTAACATTTAGGGCATCTGGGTGTAGCGACTACAGCAACTTTTCAAACTATTCTTGCAGCTCTTCTGCAAGCCAGAGAACTAGAAATTACTTCAAAATAAATGAATAAAACAAAAAGGGGCGCTACACCACTTTGCTAATTAAACCGTCATGAAACTCTCTAAACAGGCCGATGACACTGAAATAAAAGACTTCGGGGTGCCCGGCGCGTCATCATCACGGTGACACCTACTCTTGCTCTTGACGTGGTTGGTTCTTTGGCTCCTGCTGCAGGACTGACAATGTCTCGATGAAAGTTATGATTTTTTTTTTCTGTCTCTTTTTGATAAAATGACAGCAATTTCCCAAGAAAGGCTAGCGGTGAATGACAGGCCTATTTCCAAAGCGCTCTGCTCATTTATCAGCTCTGGGATATGTTTCTCGGTGTTAGCTGGAGAGATTAATTTCTCTCTCCCGCAACCATTTAAGTACAGCGAATGCTTCGGTCTTGCCCGTGAACTAGCCATTCCGCAGCTTGGTGCCAACGGATTGGATTCAAACATGAAAAATCAATTAAGTTTCCACTTCCAGTATTTGTATAAACTGTTATTTATCACGGGCAGGATGGATGGAAATGTGAAGGCTGTTCTTAGGCATTTAATTCACATGAATAATAAATCAGGATAAAGGTCTAAAAATTCAAAGCAACTCCAGGTCAGAATCTTGGGCCCACGTGGGTGCACCTCCGAGGGTAAGAAGAATTCGGGCCTCTAATTTTTCAGGCAAAGAGGAAAGAAAGAGCTTCTTCTCCTTTGGTGGGTTCTAGGTGACACAGGCTGGTATGTCACCTCCTCAGTTACCCAATGCTCAGGAGGCAGCAGGGACCCTGTTGTTTCTCCTTCAGAAAGTAAATATTCACCTTTTCTCGGGTGACCTCTTTTCTCAACCTAAAAATAAAACAGGTACCTTCCTCCGTGGGATCTTCTGAATGGGCCTCTTTTTGATGACTCCGGTTTTTTGTTCGGAGCATCAGCCAAATGCTGAGCCGACGGTCCTCCTGTCTGTGGAGCAGAGGCGCCTCCACCTGTGTTTTCTTGAAGGGAAACTGGAAACAGCCTGCTTTCTGCTTTCCTCCATAAAGAAGGAGAGAGAGTTCTGTGCCTGCCTTGTCTCCAGGAGAGCGGAACACAGCTGTTTTTGTTTCTGCTTTTGTTTTATAAAACAAACCAGCACACAGTGATCACCCCGTCTTCTAGAAAATCACCTTCATCTTCACAATTGCACATGGTGGCCTTTTGGGGACACAGGGCCCACAGGGAGCAGCTTACACTCCCGGCTTCCGGAGCCCAGTCACGCTCTCGCTCCCCCTACGTCTGAGTCTAGGGCTGCATCTCGGCTCTTTCTGGGAAATGGATTTTGCTGGACACTTAAGGCAGGGGCAGCCTGTGAGTCTCTAAATTGCTCCTGTAAAGAAACTAAGCTGTGTGTAAGAGGCTACGGTGCACCTTTCATATGCCATTTAAGGAGGCCAAATATGAAAGGGACAAAGGAGAATCCCTAACAACGTTCCGCTGAGACTGTCCGCAGCGCCACTTATCACTGTCTTCACCCCCCCACCCCTTTAAAACCAGGTTCTGTAAACTGGAGCTTTGGGGTGCTATGAGAACCCCCAAGATCAGCACCCAGGGCCAGCTAAAGAGAAGGTGGGAGGCAGATGCACAATGTTTCTACTTGAAATGATGATTCAGGAGACAGTCAACCGACCTGATTAATTTTAGTTTTTCTTCAGTTCGTGCTAAAAAGGCCTCTGAAAAATAAACTCCACGGGCTGACCACCCGCGGTTTTATTCTTGGAGTAGGGGACACATACGCATGTTCAATGAGGAAGCTGCTGCTCTACGAATAGAGCTGTGTGCCCCCTAGTCAGGGACTCAGTCACCTGGGGGGTCCCCTCTGCCGAGGCCCCACGATCACGGCCCAACACTGGCCGAGACGCTGGCCGAGCCGGAGGGCATGGACCGCCTGCCTTCAGGCCTGGGATGCAGGGAGACGCAGCCTCCCTGGAGGCACTGCAGCATGGCAGGTGGTGTGATGAGGCGGCTGACGTCTTAAAGACGCTCGGTTTATCTCAAGAGACAGAAACATTAAGAAAGGCAAGCACGGCCTGCAACCCAGTCAGAGCTGGCGCATGGCAGTCACCGAGGTGGAGCGAAGGTGCGGTGGGCAGGGCACAGACCTAGGAGCGAGAACGCTGGAGCCTGAGCCCTGGCTCCACCACCTACCGGCCATGTGTGCTCAGGCAAGTTACTCGGCCTCTCTGAGCCTCAGTGTTACTGGGAACGGCAGCACCCACCGACGGGGTGGTTGTGAGGGTGAAATGGACTAATCTGTAAAGCCCTCAGAACAGGGCCTGGTGCATAGTATTTGTTAAATAAGTGAAGAAGGTGGGGTCCTATAGGGAGAGTCTGAATAAAAGTGGCAATACCAGAAACGGTGGGTCACACACACATCCTGTAGCAGAGGCAGGGGCCAATGTGAGAACTGCCCCCGGCGCCTGCCAGTGAGTTACGCTTCAGGTGCAAGGCAAGCACCGGAAAGCTGGAGACCGCTGAGAAGTCCGGCCAAGGGCTCAGAGCAAGGAACGCAAGTTCGGACATCCAAAACCAAGCACACCGGCCCTGGCTCTCTAACAGTTTTGGGGGGCACCCAGAAGTCTCCCTACTGGAGTGTAGGGTGGGAACGGGCTCCCCCTTGCTGCCTGGTCGGTCCTCACTCTCGAAGTCAGCAAGCTGCTCAGACCACAGGATGGAGGGCAGGGCAGGTACCTGGCCATTTTTTCCACCCTCCAGAATCCAGGGGTCACTGGCTTCCACTCTCCAGAAAAAAGGCTGGGTGAGACGCCTGCAGGATTTGGGGAGACAGGGCTCAGGAAACGGGCTGCACCCCGACTCACCACTTTGGGCTTGAAGGGCGGCTGGATCTCCCTGTTCTCCAGTTTCTCCCAGTCGATTCTCCGGAAGAAGGCGTGTTCTCGCACGTCCCGCTCTCCCTCGGGCCCGCAGCCCAGCCGCTTGCCTGGGTGTTTGGTCATCAGCTAGAAAGCAGGAGAAGGGATCTAATGCATGACCTGGTGACTACAGTTGAAAATAACATATAATTGAAATTTGCCAAGAGAGTAGAACTTCAGTGTTCTCCCTCCAAACAAGGAAAAAAAGTAACTACGTGAGGTGATGGGTAAGTTACGTGGCTGTGGGATCGCCCTCCCTCAGTATAGCGGGGGATTAGACCCAGGATCCCTCCCGGGCACCGAAATCCACAGACGCTCAAGCCCCTTATGCATAAAGTGGCGCAGTATTTGCAAAGAGCCTACGCACATCCTCCCGTATTCTTTAACCCTTTGCGGTCGTTTGTCTACTCTCAGCCACCAAGGCTTTTTGACCGTTCCGGTCGTATGTCTGCTCTCAGCCACCACAGCAAGGAGCCGTACGAATCTTAACTCTATTCATTCATGGATCAGTTCATAATTTCTCTTGTTTATCCTTCATAATCTTGCATGTTATGTATCACTGCTCTTTCAATGGAAATTAATTCCGACCCGTACGGCACCCATGTCCAAATTTAATACGACCGCAAAGNATCTTGCATGTTACGTATCACTGCTCTTTCAATGGAAATTAATTCCGACCCCTACGACACCCATGTCCAGATTTAATACGACCGCAAAAGGTTAAATCATCTCTAGATCACTTATAATACCTAACACACTGTAAGTGCTGCGTAAAGGGCCATTACACTGTATTGTTTGGGAAATAACGACAAGAAAAACGTCTGCATGCTCAGTACAGACGCACCCATCGCAGGCCTAACTACAGAGTGGCAGCAGCAGTGTCACTTTTTTGGGGAATATTTTCCATCCGTGGTTGGTTGAATCCACAGATGAGGAACCCATAGGTACAAAGGGCCAACTACATACATATATCAAATCACCACATTGCACACTTTAAATATATTACAATTTTATGTGTCAATTATACCTTAATAAAGTTGAAAAAAAGCAGCAGAAAATTTGTCCATACGTTCCTCAAAACACAACCCAGAAGGTTCCCGGCCGCCTATCTGTAACAGCCCCACACCAGAGAGAGAACGGCCCAAATCCTCACCGGTGTAGACGCCTAAGGACTGCGGTCCGTCTACACCATGGAATACTGTGCGGCCGTGCGCAGGACGGACGACCCCATGCAGCAACGTGGAGAAATCTCACCACAACGACAGGGGGAAAAGCCAGGCCCAGGGAGCATCCACTGCAAGACGCCACGTGTGCAAAGTTCAAAACAGGCACAATAAATCTACGCAGTGATGAGCGGGAGTGACTGCGGGGCGGGAGAGGAGGGGGCTCCGGGGTGCTGGGAACGTACAGCTACATGGGTGTGTTCACTTTGCGACAATTCACTCATCTGTACAAGATGACTGGGCCCATTTCTATACATCTCAGAAACAGCTAAATGAACAAAAAACTAATAACCGAGTGAAGCAACGGCGAAGAGCCGAGATTTTCTAAGGGTCTGCGGCCACTCCCGTAGCCCCCACCATGACTTCACAGGGTTGATGGGAAACGAGGGCTGACCGGGCCAGGTCCCCGACGTGCGGGGTGTCAATCTGTTTTCCAGGCCTGCGCTCCTGCCCCCACGCCCCGCAGGTCGCCAGGTTCCGGCCCTGGGCGGCCGTGGGCTTGGGGCCTCTGAGTCCTCTCGCAGAGTGTGGGGCAGACTCCCCTGCGGACCCCGTAGGCCTGTGACCGTGGGAATCCAAGTCCACTTACCCCCTTGCAGATGGAAACGGCCTCCTTGGACAAGGATTTCGGGTAGGAAACGTTGTGCTCCATTATAGACTGAAACAGCTCGTCTTCGTCTTCGCCATCAAACGGAGGCTGCTCGGGGAGAGAAAGGTCACCGGTGAGGCGTCAGGGGGCCGCCGTGCACTCGCCGAGGCGCAGCTCCACACCGGGAGGCGCCGGCTGCGAGGGGGCTCTTCCATTAGGGCCGCAGGCTTGTGCGTTTCCCAGGGTTTCCTCCGCTCCTTTAATGATCCCGCCCTGGGCAACCCAACAGGATCTTGAAGAAGAATGTTTCTGAACAATGCTTTGAGTGGTTTTCAAATAAATGATAATGAATCCATTAATCTTGGAACAATGCGTTAAAATCTAATTATGAGCACGTGAGGCTACAGACGGCTGTGTGTTCAGAAGGTGGGGGTGGGATAGAGGATGCTAATGCCTCTGCGTCCTGAATACGGTGAAGGGGACAGGACAACATGGGCAAAGAGCCTTCCTTAGGTCTGGAGTTCACACCAGGGCCCTTCTGACCCAACACAGAGCTGCCACCCGCGGTGACCGGAGCTTAGCTTCCACCGGACACCTTCCTGCCCTTTTCTACCAGGTTTCCATCCCCACGTGGAGAGCGGGAGGCGGGGTGACCGGGTGGCAGGGCAGGAGGTCACAGCTTTAAAGTCAGGCAGATGTAAACCAGAATTCCAGCTCCACCACCTCCTAGCTGGCTGTCCAGAGGCAAGTGACCTGCCTCTTTAAGACACAGTTTTCCAATCCGTAAAATGGGGTTTCCTGGGGCCTGATATTGTGTCTTGCACCCAGTAAGGGTCCTCTGAAGGGTGCTTAGTGGTACTGGTATTGTGATTAAGCCTTTGGGGGGCTGCTAGGGTGCTCAGGAGGAACGGGCGAGCTCAGGATGCCCTCCAGCACGCCTTCAATCCTGAGATTAGCCAATCACCTGTCACTCTGGACAACCCACAGCATGAGGGGGCTTAGGGAAAACTGCTTAACTTAGCCAACCTTGAGCTTAGCATGCAAAAGGCAGACTAGGGGTTAGCTCTCTTCCAGAGAATCCTATGTTTCATCTTGTATTTTCCTTCTCATTATAGGAAGATGTACAGTCACTTTGGCTAACGTGGTTAGGACTCGGATAATGACAGAGTCTGGTTTAAATTTAAACTATGCCATGGACCAAAGACAACCGCGAGGTCATCAGCAGGATAGCTATCCCTTCTCATCAAACATTTCCCCCGAGTAGGAGAGAGCAGTAGAACTAAGCCGAGCGCTCCCCTCACCGCCACTCACAACCCACCCCAACCTGTTCATCTGGCCCCAGCCTTCCTCCTGCACCCCATCCCCAGCCCTGAGTAGGAGCTGGGAGCGAGGTCAGCACCCGGGGGCCTCACCCACCAGAGGGAAGATGCCAAGTCTATGAAGAACCCTATCTTGGTCAAACGAACGCCGCTGTAGACCGACTCATTTGTCCACAGCACGTTTAAAACCGCTTCCAGCACTAACACATGCTACACCAAGCATCTCTGCAACGTATCGTTTTTGCTTTCTCTGAATTACTTCCTAATTTCCCAGGTGTGGGATTATGCAGCCAAAGGACATGAATGTTTGCATGGTTTTCCTTAAGTCTCTCCAGATCTCGCCTGGAGCATTCCTACAGGTAACTGCTCTCAGGCCTTGGCGGTAAAGGTGAGTCAACGCTAGGAAGTTATAATTATTCATTTTCCTCTCCAGACATGCCAGCTATGGAGCCTGGGGACAACAGGGGGTAATGGGTTGCCCAGGTACTTAGGAGCATGACTGTTTTGGGTCGCTTCTCACCCCTCTTCCCCCCATTCCCATGATTATTTTTTAAATTTCTACAAATCTGGACTCAATACTTCAAGCTGAGCTAATGTCTTGGCTTGGNATGATTATTTTTTAAATTTCTACAAATCTGGACTCAATACTTCAAGCTGAGCTGTCTTGGCTTGTGGGTGCCTTCCTTGGCAGTATGTAATCTGCGAATTTTAAACAGACAAATGAGGAACGATGGATCCCTCTTTCCAAAGTGATTCCACAATCGCTCACTAGTAAGTGGTCGCTGGGCCCCTGCCACGTTCATTTGTCACTGATGACCAGGGGTAGGGGGGTGGGAGAGGACTCGGGGACACCTCAGGCTGATGTCCTGGGCGGAAGAACCCATTTCTGATTCACCAGGACAAAGCATTAATCGCCCTGGCAGACAGGGACAGACGAGGAGAGGGCTGGTCGCTGTGTGATGAACACCCGCGAACGCTTCGAGCCGCGTCCGCTCATTAGAGCGCTGGGTAAATACTATTTATGCCCAGAAGTAATCGTATTTGTCAAGCAACCCGGGAACCGAAGACAGACTCGGGCTGTTTGTGCTCAACTGCCCCCCTGGCTGCTGCTAATAAATAAAGCAAATGAGAAGGAAATTGCAATAAACTATTTCTTCGGCTCATCTTCAGCTCTCGATTAATGAGGACAATTTCAGACCACAACCCCATCAGCAACTGTAAAATTAGTCTTACTTTTCAATAACAGTATCTGTTCCCTCTGCCCGGTCTCTGAGGTTCCTTTAGCGGGAGAGGGGAGGCGTGGGCAACACAGGCAGAGCCTTTATCGTCTTTTTAGGTGAGTCACAGCCCAGGAATACATTTAAATTTGCATCGAGTCAGAGAGGAAAACTGAGGGGAGGGAATCCTGAAATGAAAATACCGAGTTTGTGGCAGGCACGGTGAATATTTAGAGGGACAGTGGCTGTGCCTGCTGCTGCACCGGAACGTGGGCAGCCTTTAGGGTGTCATATGCAGAGTGTCACCATTTTCGACAGAGATTATGGAAACTTCCAGAGACCACATAAGGCAGGTTAACTGACCCCCGAGACCGGATGGAAAATAATGAAAAGGTAGCAGAATGTCTATGGAACCACTGGGTGTGGGGAGGGCCCCGTGCTCTCTTTGGGGGCTTGAGGAAGGCCCAGTCCTGCAGAATGGAGACCCAGGAAGGCTTGGGGGGG